ATTCCTTGAGTATAGCACATGTGCATTGGTTATAGCAAATGTGCTGGTTGACTCCTACAAATCCCTTGATTGTAGTAATCCCTTAATTATTGCACATGCGTGCCTTAATTATGGCGCATGTGCACCTTGAAACATCTATATGAACTCATGTAATTGTACTCTACAATCCTTAGAAGGAAAACTCCTCAGGGACCCCAAAACAGGGGACCCCTAAGGGGACAGGTGAGGTGTCAGCCCTCCCCAGGGCTGACACCTCACCTGTCCCCTAAGGGGTCCCCTATTTAGGGTCCCTGTAACAACACCCATCCTTAAAATGAGAATATAAAATTCCTCAATAATCTTTATTTTCAATAAAAACAAGCAAAATAAAAGAAATAGAGCAGTATACTATTTTACAACACGAACAACTTACAATGTAAGCATTAATAGAAGTCAATGCTTCTATATTTATTGCCTTCAAGATGTCAAGCTAAAATCCACGCAAGTACTTCGATATAACACACAATTAATAAGGAGCTGGAAATAGAAGTAGTTAGTGTGAGGTGGATCAGATCTTGACTCCGTTTACATAGATATTAACTGTTTGTTTGCTACCGTCTCCTCCTTTACCACCACCACCTCCTCCTCCTCCTCCTCCTCCATTTTGCTTGATATTGATGCTTGGCGGAGACTAATAGAAATTGACAAAAGGAAAATATCAACAAATATAATATATTTAATAATCACTACAACTCCAATAATAATTTATTACGGATATAACATATTTCGATTATCTCCACTATCAAAAAGTAATAAAGAGAACACTAATATTATTTAAGATTTTTAGTTTACAAAGTCCAAAATTTTAACCTAATTAATCACCCACTTCCAAATCATCCTTGTATGCAAATATTTTGTAGTTAAAAAAGGGAAATAAATCACTAAAATCCAAAATTAATTTTAAAACATCTCCACGTTAGTTGAAAAATAACTTTAAGTATTAAATTCTCAAATTTTAAATTGTAAGAATTTATTTATGTATAAAAGAGTCATTTCACTTTATAAATAACTTTATTAGTACCATAAAACCTGTGCCAAATTACTGAGAAGAAAATTTTAGAGATTGTAAAAAAAATTATCTTTATAATCTCTGATTTAAAGAAGACTCAAATCCTACCAGTGGATGTAGGCAATTACTAAACCACATAAATCCTATGTCTTTTGTATTCTCGTTCTATTTTCTATGGTATCTTGATCTTTCTCTTTAATTTGAATAGAGGTTTCTTCGTGTTTCCATATCAACCAGTGATAGATTGGCCTATGAAGAAGGAGATCTAATTGATATGTTCGACGAAACTTTCTTGGCTACGCTTCCACATTAAATTCTAGTTTTTAGCCAATGATTGATGTTTGGTTGTGGGTGGTGTGCGTTAATGGGTTTTAGAGGGGGTTGGGGGTTAATTGTCGTGTGCCGTGCGGAAGCGTGCTCGCAAACTAAACGAGTCGGCAAACGATGAGAGAAGAACTAAAAACGAGTGCAATTCCCAAAATAACAGCTAAAATCACACACAAACACAGAGATTTATGTGGTTCGGCAAATTGCCTACGTCTACGGGGAGATGATGAGGAGATTTTACTATATGGAGGAGAAACAATGGGTTACAATCTCTCAAACCACTCTCAAAATAACCCAACGAATGATCTCACACTCCCTCATAATAATCTCCTTCTCAAAGTGCCCAAAAGAACCAATTTTCTCTGTTAATCTCTTCTCCTAAACCCTAGAAAGACATGTTTCTATTTATAACAAAACACAATCCAAAACAGGCTGCGAATCAGATAACACGTCTGCCACACTCGGGTGTGGCATGCACTACATCTCTGACAACGAATTATAGCAGACAGCTTCTGCCACACTTGGGTGTGACACACACTACACCCCTGACAATAAATTGTAGCAGACAGCTTCTGCAACACCTGGGTGTGGCACGCACTACACCTGTAGCTGCTCAATTTTTACATTTTCTAATATTTTAAACAATTCGACGTCATTTTCTACAATTCTCCACCTCAACGAAGTGTTCCCAAAACCAAGCCGACATTAACATGAGCACCAATAAGTCGTCTCGCCAAAACCGGTTGCACAAATATGGTTTCCTATGTACCCCCTCTCCCAATGGATCAAGTCATCCGTAGTTCATCCAAATGGCCTCGAAAAGCCTCACAATAACAAATGTGCAATAAGTTTCTACAATGATTAAACTTATTGCTCAGAACCACCGTCATGAGCATATCCGATGGATTATTTTTTGTGTGAATCTTCATAAGCTCCACATCCCCATCTTCAAGAACATCCCGAACGAAGCGATATGGAACATCGATATGATTTTTCCTCACATGAAAGACCAGATTCTTCACCAAATAAATAGCACTCATGTTATCACAATAAATGGTGATGGATCGCTGCAAAACACCAAGATCCTCCAAAAGTCCTTGAAGCCAAATCGCCTTCTTAACAACCTCTATAATTGTCATATATTCTGCCTCCATCGTTGACAAAGCCACTTTAGACTACAAGGTGCATCACCAACACACCGACGCACAGGTTAAAGTAAACACATACCCCATCGTCGATCGACATTTATCCAACTCTCCAGCGTAGTTCGAATCTATGTATCCAATACATAGCTGCCCACCACTAGTATCTCGTTAAAAAACCAAACCAACATTGAGAGTACCTTAATCCATCTCACGGCATCCTAATGACTCGGACCTCGGTCATGTATGTATCTCGAAACCATACTCACTGTCTATGACAAATCCGATCTCGTACAAACTATGGCATACAGCAAAGTTCCTAGTGCGTTCTCATATAGAGTCTTCGACATCAACTCTCTATCTTTAATTATTTTTGGTGAAAGGTCAGCTGAAAGCTTCAAATGGGCTCCCAATGGTACACAACTGGCTTCGTCTCCATTCTCACATTAAACCGCTATAGCACATTCTTCAAATAAGCTACCTGTGTCAAATAAATTCTACCCCTATCTCTGTCTCTGCCGATCTCCATCCCTAAAATACGCTTCGCTTCACCCAAATCCTTCATCTTGAACTGTTTCAAAAGTTGTACCTTTAATTCATCTATAGCGGATCTGGAAATAGAAGCAGCCAACATGTCATCAACATAAATCAACAAATAAATGCACACACATCCTCGCAACTTGTGATAGTATACGCAATGATCAAACTGGCTCCTAATGTACGAATGACCGAGCATAAACCCATCGAATCACCTATACCACTGTCGCGGAGATTGCTTCAATCCGTATAGCGATTTCTTCAATCTGCAAACTAATTTCTCATTCCCTACAGCTCGAAACCCTAATGGCTGAGTCATGTACATTTCCTCATCAAGATCACCATGAAGAAATGCTATTTTCACATCTAATTGATTTAATTCCAAACCATACTATGCCATCAAAGCTAGAAAGATTCAAATCGAAGAGTGATTCACTATCGGAGAAAAGACCTCATTGTAATCAATGCCTTCTTCCTATGCATAGCCCTTCACTATCAACCTAGCTTTGAACCTCACTGGAGTGCCTTCAATGCCCTCCTTCTTCGTATACACCCATTTGCAACCGATAGCCTTCCGCCCCTTTGGAAGCTCAACAAGCTCCCATGTGTTGTTCGTCTGAAGAGATTCCATCTCCTCCCGCATAGCTTCCTACCACAAATTAGCCTCTGAATCTACTCAGCGTCTCTAAATGTAGTAGGAATCATCTCATTGACACTCTCCACCGGAAGTGCATAAACAATTATTATATTCATATACCTAGCTGGCAACCGTATGTCTTTCTTGGGTCTCCGAACCGTAATCGAATCCTGAACCTGAGCCGTCGGTCCCTAATTATACTCTATTGAACCTGTATCCTCCAAATCATCACTTTGCTCGCCTGACGTCACCTTAGTCAGTACTCTAATAGATATGGTACTATCTGGACATTATGGAGCTATATCAATATTCATCACCTGTGATATCTCCTCTGTCGGGATGCTCTCCACCTGATGAGAGCTAGGAAACTTTAAGATGGAAGCCTCATTAAAAGTGACGTCTCTACTTAGCACAATCTTCTTATTAACTGGATCCCAAAGGTTGTATCCTATCACCCCAAGCTTGAATCCCACAAATATGACATTTCTAGCTCGAGGTTCTAATTTATCAGTCGTCACATAATAAAATGTAGGGCATCCAAATACCTTGAGCTAATCATAATCACGTGCTGGCACTCCCGACCACATCTCCATAGGGGTTTTCCCCTCAATCACCGATGAAGGCAGGCTATTAATGAGGTGTCTTGCATAGGAAAGTGTCTCAGCTTAAAAGATCTTCTCCAAACCACTCTGCGATAAGAAACATCAGACCTTCTCCAGTAAAGACCGATTCAATCTCTTTACCACCCTATTCTGTTGTGGTGTATGACTAACTATGAAGTATCTATCTATGCCCTCGTTTTGACATAACTGCTGAAAAGGGTCCGAAGTGTACTCGCCGTCGTTGTCGGATCTCAACGTCTTGATCTTTCTTCATGTCTATAGTTCCAATCTTCTCTTCCACTCCACAAATATATCTAAGACTTCACTCTTCTTAGCTGTGGTGTACACCTAACAATGTCTAGAATAGTCATCTACAAACGTGACGAATCAATATCGATCACCAAGTGAAGACGTCTTGGAGGGACCCCAAACATCTGTGTGAACATAGTCCAAGATTCCTGTCATCCTATGTACGGCTGTCCCGAACTTCACCCTTATCTTCTTGCCAAGAATACAGTGCCCACATAAATCAATTTTCCTACTCTTGGCTTCCTTCAATAGCCCCTGCTTGCACAGTACCTGCAGTGATTTTGCACCTGTATGCCCCAATCTGTAGTGCCAAAGTCTGCTCGCGTCCGCCTCTGAAACAGCTGAAGCTAACTGGCCAATCTCGATGCTTCTCTTCAGATAATAAAGATTCTTACTACGGACTTCCTTTATCATTATCAAAGATTCCTTAGTAACTTTTGCTACAGCGCTCTCAAAAGTCACATTAAATCCCTTTGCCTCCAAAGCTCCAATGAAAATAAGATTCTTCTTCAACTAAGGAACAAATCTCACTTTATTGAGCTCTCGATCAACTCCATCGTGCATCAAAATCCTGATGGTACATATCCCACAAATGCCAGAGAATTGATCATTTTCCATGACTACCACGTCCCCATAGAGCTTCTCAAAAGGTGCAAAGAAATCTCTCCAGGGAGTCACATGATAAGTAGCACCAAAATCCAGCATCCAATCCGATACATCCGCATGGTTAACCTCTAGAGTAATCAATAGAGAAAAGTATAAATCATCGGAATTGTTACCACTCTTAGCAATAATTGTAGGTATCAAAAATTACCTACAGGTCCCCAAACATAGCTCGAGAAGACGATCCGTCAAGCGACGAACCGTCAGACAACATGGTGATGAGTCGTCAAAACAACAAAGTGGCAAACCATTGATAACGTAGCAACAAGCCACCGGAACGGAAAAGCAAGGGAACATGCACTCACCGGCCACCTTCAACTGGCCTGCGTGCTCACCGGCCACCTCTAAGTGGCTCGCGTGCTCACCGACAACTTCTAAATGGCCCGCACGTTCACTGGCCACCTCCAAGTGGCCCGCATGCTCATCAGCCACCCCCAAGTGGCCCGTATGCTCATCAGCCACCTCTAAGTAACCCGCGCACTCGTCAGTCACCTTTAAATTAACGAAAATACATGAAGCGAATCAATGAAGCGTACAAGTCAGTAAAACAATGAAATGCACGTAACGACGAAACAAGACCAAACTAGAAAAGTCCCTGGCGGCCAAGTCGCATCAAAATGACTCGGCTAAGGCCAGGTGGCTTGGCCAAGGCTGAGCCACCATAGGGTGGCTTATACAGTTCCGAGCCACCGTAGGGTGGCTTACGCCCAGAAGTACCAAAAACACGTTTTTCGATAGTTTTCTTGAGATTCTTTTATTCCAGAGCCTCCCCAACTATTTTGAAGCTATCCTTAAATGTAGTTAAGCGGTTATTAACTAAGGATAAGGTCAAATTATCAATTCTTAACTGAAAATACTGCATCCGAAACCTATAAATACAAGCCTAGGATCCTATACGCAGGGGATCTAAAATAGACGTGAGGTGCTGTCAAATTGAAGAGTGAATCATGAATTTTAGAGAGGCTAGCGGATCTTGGCGAACTTCTTCAGCATAAAGAGGGAGAATTCGAGAGATCTGAGGTCCGTTCCACCATTCCTTGAGATCAGACAGACTTTGTTTTGATCTCGAGAAGAGTAGTAATCTTAATTTGTTGAGATTATTTACTTCTGCGATTATTTCCTTTATGAAGAAAGAACAATGATCTTTTATTTTGATCAACCAGATCTGATACGCGGTGGTCCCCGGATAAACCCCGACACAGGCAAAGATCCCACGAAAGCAGCGGGTGATAAACGTTCTCTGCGTGTGTTTGAAGAGAATTGTATTTTTTTATTTTCATTGTGTAAGAAAGTCTTATAAAAAGACTAATTTTACTTTGAATCTGTAATCAATAAACGTGTAATGGATTCAGTAATGAAAACAACTTTCGATGCAAACAACATTTACCTCATTGGCTTTCGGCCCCTTCTTCTTGCTATTCTCCTTCTCTCTAATCTTCAGGCAATCTCTCTTCTAATATCCTTGTTCTTTACAGAAAGCACATTGGTTCTTTGCTAATTGGTAGTGGCCTCTTGACTTTGACCTGCTTCGATTACACTTCCCGGATAGGAACTCCTTCCTCTCATCGACAAGGCCTCTCCTGAAGTGCTAGCTCTGAAAGTCTCTTTGTCCTTCCTCCTCAGATCATAATTCGTCAACGCATTAGTCATTTCACTATAGGTGATGGAAGATCTACTGTTCAACAAAGTGAGTATGAATGTATCATACTTCTCATTGGGTAAGGAGCCTAACAAAATAATCGCTTTGTACTCATCCGTTATCTTCTCATCAATGTTCGCCAAGTCGGACAACAACTTTGTGCAGTTGTTCATATGATCCGCAAGTGAGGTACCCCTGGACATCTAGAATCTAAACAATCTTCGCAGAAAGTGCAAACGATTCTCGACACTCTTTGTAAGGTACTTATTGTTGAGAATCTCCTACATCTTCATCGCAGAAATCACACCAATCATATCATACTTCAACTCTTATTCCAAACAAGATCTAACTACCCCATAAGCTTTTCGGTTCATCTTGTCCCATACCGCCTCATCATACTTCGGTGGCCTCTCATAGACCATGATGGTCTCTTCCAAAATTTGAGCATTTAGTGCATCTTGCACATCACTCGTCCACAAATCAAAGTTGATCTTGCCGTCATACTTAACAACACTGGTCTTCGTATTTTAAAGTGCAACCTGAACTGTACTCGTCATCATCTTGCTGCTTTCACAAATTTCTTCTCCCATTGTTTGCAAACTCTAAATTGTAAAGAAGGATTCAAACTTGATAGAATTGAGAAATTACCAAACTAAACTCTAGATAGGGTTCCAACACGATCTCCTAGCCACACGAGGAAAGCAAGATCTCCAATAACAAAACCGCAATGTTGTCGCCACCAAAGCCTAGATCTCCAAGACCCAAGCTTCCAACAGCAAATCTTCCTCCACCCAATGCAAAACCCTAGATCTAAAAATCTGACCTCTGATACCACTTGTTGCTCGCCGTGCAGAAGCGTGCTCGCAAACCAAACGAGTCGGCGAGTGATGAGAGAAGAACCAAACACGAGTGCAATTCCTAAAATAACAGCCAAAATCACACACAGACACAGAGTTTACGTGGTTCGACAAATTTCCTACGTCCACGGGGAGAGGATTGGGAGATTTCACTCTATAGAGGAGAAACAATGGATTACAATCTCTCAAACAATTCTCAAAATAACCCAACCAATAATCTCACACTCCCTCACAATAATCTCCCTCTTAAAGTGCTCAAAAAACCAATTTTTTTCTTTTAATCTCTTCTCCTAAACCCTAGAAAGACATATTTCTATTTATAATAAAACACAATTCAAAATAGGCTGGGAATTAGAAAACGTGTCTGCCACACCCGGGTGTGGCGCGCACTACACCCCTGACAACGAATTGTAGCAGACAACTTCTATCACACCTGGGTGTGGTACGCACTACACCACTGACAACGAATTGTAGCAGACAACTTCTGCCACACCTGGGTGTAGCATGCACAACACCTTGTGCTACTGAGTTTTCACATTTTCCAATATTTGAAAAATTTGACGCCGTTTTCTACATTAACTAGGAAAAAGAGGGGTTAACCTAGAGTTTGAAAGGGCTTCGTAATTTCCCCCTCTATTTATTTAGATAACCTCGTATTTTAATTTTTCATATGAAATTTTGTATTTTACATTTATTCTAATAATAACTTACTCCAGATATGACACATTTCGATTATCTCCACTATTAAAAAATAATAAAGAGAACCCTACTATTATTTAGGATTTTATAAATTCTCAAATTTTAAATTGTAAGAACTTTATTTATGGATAAAAGAGCCATTTCACTTTATAAATAACTTTACTAGAACCATAAAACCTTTGGAAAATTACTAAGAAGAAAATTTTAGAGATTGTAAAAAAAAAATTATCTTTGTAATCTTTGATTTAAAGAAGACTCAAATCCCTACTAGTGTATGTAGGCAATTACTAAACCACGTAAATCATGTGTCATTGTACTCTTGTTCTATTTTCAATGGTATCTTGCTCTTTCTCTTTAATTTGAATTGAGGTTTCTAGGTGTTTCTTTATTGACCATTGATCGATTGGTCTATGAAAAAAGGAGATCTAATCGGGTGTTCGGCGACGCTTTCTTAGCTATGCTTCCGCATTGAATGCTAGTTGTTAGCCAATTATCAGTGTCGGATTGCATGTGGTGTGCATCAATGGGTTTTGAAGGGGGCGGGGGTGTTGAGTAGGAAAAAGAGGTGTTAACCTAGAGTTTGAAAGCGCTTCATAACTTTCTCCTCTATTTATTTAGATAACCTCATATTTTAATTTTCCGTATGAAATTTTGTATTTATATTTATTCTGATAATAATTTACTCTAGATATTACAAATTTCAATTATCTCCACTATCAAAAAATAATAAAGAGAACACTACATGTTATTTAGGATTTTAAGTGTATAAATCCAAAATTTTACCTGATTTATCACCCACTTCCAAATCGTCCTTGTATGCAAATATTTTGTAGTTTGAAGAGAAAAGGAAATCACTAAAATCCAAAAATAATTTTAAAACATCTCCATTGTTAGTTGAAAAATAATTTAAGTATTAATTCTCAATTTTTAAATTGTAAGAACTTTATTTATGGATAAAAGAGTCATTTCTCTTCTATAAATCATTTTATTAGTACCATAAAACCTTGGGCAAAGTGCCAAGAAGAAAATTTTAGAGATCATAAATTTTTTTTGTAAACTCTAATTTAAGGATGTCTCAAATCTCTTCTAGTGGATGTAGGTTATTGCGAAACCATATAAATTCTGTGTCTTTATGCACTTGCTCTTTTTTTTATGGTATTTTGCTCTCTCTCTCTCTTTAATTCGGATAGAGGTTTCTCGGTGTTTCAACATTGACCGGTGATTGATCGGTCTATGAAGAAGGAGAACTAGTCAAGTGTTCAGCGACGCTTCCCTAGCTACGCTTCTGCGTTGAATGCTAGTTGTTAGCGAACGATCATTGTCGGGTTTTCTGGGTGTGGGGGTGGGGGGGTTGAGTAGGAAAATGAGCTTACCTAGAGTTTGAAAGGGTTTCGTTATTTCCCCCTCTATGTATTTAGATAACCTCGTATTTTAGTTTTCCATATGAAATTTTATATTTTACATTTTTTTCGAATGGATCCGAGATGGAAAATTTCGTCTATATGGTTCTATCAGTACTATGAACAACACTGCTGAAAATAACATCAAAGATAATTCCTTCCGTCCAGTTAATGACTTTTCAAAGGGAAATATTGGTGGCACGCTGTTCTCGTGTATACAGGCAAATCTTCTAGGACAAACCCCCCTCCACCCAGCCCTACACACACAAAACCCTCCCAAAAAAAAAAAGAGACAAAATCCACTTGGATCTAATGAGTCAAAAGCCCACAACAAAAACCCAAATCCGATGGTCAGAAGACATGGGTTTTGACCTCCCCAATGTTTTGAATCTGGACACGCCCCTAAAGACACTCACTACATGGGTGGGATGGTGGAGGGTCGGAGAACCAACAAAATGAGACCTGGCGTAGAGGAAAGAGATTTTAACCTTATCTAAGGAGGCGAAGGATTGAACTCCGGCACGCTGCTCATATAACTCATTGTCTCTGTCTGCTTGCCGGCGATATAACTCGTCCAACCTCTCCGTCGACGGCCCAATCCACTCGTCCATGGTCAGCCGAAATCGCTCATTGGGGTCGCAGCTACGATACGAAAATATATAATTAAAACGTTAAAAAGGTTGTACGTACTAAAGATAGAACAATATTAATAAGGAGATAAAGAACTATTAGAATTAATTAATACCTCGAGGAGGAAGGAAGGGGAGATACATGATTAGGATAGAGCTCGAAGAAAATCCTGCGCGCGTTTTCATGATGGCAGATGGCCTCATTGAGTAATCCCCGTTGCTCTGCGCTAACGCCCTTCCCATATTCGTCCTTGGCCAAATCAATCCAGAATTTCACCTCGCACTTGGTTAGTGGTGACCTACCGATCATACCCATTGTTTCCCGAAGTGACGGAAGATGACAGAGCGGAACATACTTATAAGTGAAGATAATGGAGTATGGAATCTGATCATCAGGCACAAAGTAAAAGAATGTATTCAAGGAAAAGAATGGCATGCAAATTTTTTTAGGAGCAGACATACGGATTAAGTATTGTATGAGCCACGCCTGACGGGTGTATCATGCTTGTTTTTTCGTCTGGGCTACGGCATTTTGTGGGCAAGGTATAAGCATTTTTATGAGGATTCATGTAAATTTAAGTTTTTTTTTTTTTTGAGAGAAAGGATGGACTACTGTTAATCATAACAGTAGTCCAGCCAGCTAAATTAACCAAAAAATTGGCTGATACAAGAAGATACACATTCCCAACCAATAAGAATGTGTACTTGAGTTCAAACAGAAATTACAAACCAAAAGAAAAACTCTTGTTCCCCCACAAAAAGAAGCCAAACCATGCTCCAGCTCTGCCACTACAGAGTAACCCATCTCCAGTATGAATAAAGAAGCTATCAACTACTACTACTATCAGATAGTCTACTATCTTAACTAAGAATAGAGTTTTAACCATCTGAAAACAAAACAAGTTTATAGAACTGAAAGCAGAAATCATTCCAGCTGAATCACAGCGCTCGCAAGCATTCCAGCTGTAGATTGCCCAACAGCAGCTTTCTTCTTTCTCCTCTCCTGAAGTCTGGCAGTTCGAGCTGATAAATGCTTAGAACCTAACCAAAATGATGAAAAGATCAGAACTTTGTTCAAAACCTCCAGAGCTCTCTTTTTCTTGTTTGAGAAAATTCTATCATTTCGCTCCTGCCAAATACACCAAATAAGAGAACATAGAATAACATCTCTTTCCTCATTCCATTTAGCTCCCTTATCCATACTCCAATTGATCCAAATATCTTTTAAAGAATTCAACTTAAAACTCTTATCAATATTCAATTTATATTGAATAGATCTCCATGTAGAATATACAAACTCATAGTCCACAAATAAATGGAAGTGATTTTCCTCCTTTTTTGAACATAGACACACTACAACAAATTGCACTTTTCCCGACGCTTATTCCCGACGCATGGTTAAATACGTCGCCAAAAATTATGTTTTTCCCGACGATTTTAGTTAGCGTCGGCAAAACATATATTTTTCCCCGCGTTTATAATTCGCGTCGCTAAAAGTGTATATTATTTGCGACGTTTTAATTTAGCGTCGGCAAAAGTATAGCTTTTAGCGACGCAAAACTTTTCGTCGCAAAAAAATATACATTTGGCGACGCAAGTTAGCGTCGGCAAAAGGTGTAGCTTTTAGCGACGAATAGTTTTACGTCACTAAAAGTAACACTTTTGCCGACAGTACATATTGCGTTGGCAAAAGTATAGTTTTAGCGACGTAAAACATTTCGTTGCAAAAAAGCATACATTTGGCGACGCCGTTAGCGTCGGCAAAATTTTTCCATTCCCCCCAATTTATTTGGTTCCCCGCTCAAATCCCTATCTCACAAGACCCCATCTCTCTCAAATCCTCAGATCTCTACGCTTCTCCCTCCGCGACCTCCTAGGCTCCGCCTACTTCTCCTCCTGGGACTTGACCGGCGACCCTTGATCCTCGTTCTTCGGTACCCTCTGCTCCGACGACCGAGTCGTCTCCCTCTCCCTCGGTTCCTCCGTCGTCGGCGTCCCCGGCCTCCTACCCTAGCTATTCACAAACCCTAGCGGCGATGGCGGGAGCCCTAACCGGCCTCCAAGATCACCTGAAGCTCGCGAGGGAGTACGCGATGGAGGGGCTCTACGACACCTCCATCATCTTCTTCGATGGCGCCATTGCTCAGATCAACAAGCAATTCCTTTTTTTTCCCTTTGATTCGGTTCGGGTTGAGCTTTGATTTTGATTGCAATTGGATCCTTTTTCCAAATCTTTAATCTCATGCCATGGAAATAGAATGAGAGTAAAGATTTGGAAATCTCGAGACCCCTTGTGTTATCTCAGTTAATAGCTCCAAAATATCCAGTTCTCTTATATATAAATATATGCAAGTCTAGGACAGGAAAAGCAGTGGGCACTGGAAGTTAACCCATTATATACCAGCAGTCTGGGTGAGTTCCATTATATCTATGGCCTTGTTGCTCTGTTTTGTTGTAACTTAAATTTATGTATGTTACCAGAGTGTTTTTGAAATAATCTAATGGTGTTCCTTCTGTTTATTAGATGCGCAGTTTCCAATACTTTTCACTCTGCATTCTCTTTTAGTTCTTGATTCATCTTCAAAGCTCACTTAGTTTTCTCAGGCATGGCATTTGGTATCAATAGCATAAAGGCTACTATCTGATTCTCTGTGAAGTGCATGCTCTTGGTAAAGGTTTCTTTGTTGACTTTCTTGCCCGTGCCATTGCAACGGCTATAGTGACAAAAATTGTTTCCTGGTTACTTGAGGTTTATTACAGTCAAAGTATATGAATCCACTTTTATTCCAAATTATCAATGACATTTGTTATATTACTAGTGTGTGTGACTTCGAAATAGCACATTCCTGCGATTATGTAAATATGTAAATGTTCCTTAATGTAGTCGTTACCTATTTAAACTAAGTACATATTTTATCGGAACTGTATACAATATGATGATCTATACCACATTCATGAGTAGGTAGTCAGCTGGTTTGGGAATTTTATCCATTGTGTTTATATTTAATAGGGTTTGTATTCTATTTAAGCGTAGACAGTGTGTTCTATAATAAATTATAGGGCCAAGCATCCTGAAGCTATTATGCTCTGAATTTAAAGGTTATACACTATTGAAGTCATTAGCTTTCTTCATAAAATACTCGGTGCAGCATCATCAAATTTCCTCTTTACAGAAAGCAGCAGCGGCGTTAATAATTTCAAATTCCAACAATCTGAACGGTTTGCAGACAGCCTGCCCAAAAGCAGGAAAAATGAGTACAAATGAAGCAAAACTCCATTGCTAACACTCATTCGGACGACGATCTTCCAGTATTTTATCTATAATCTCTCTTTAGAGAATTGCTATGTCTCAAAACACAATGGATACACAAAGTGATCATTCTCAAACTAAAATTCCTTAACGAAATCTACATTCTATCTCTCAAATTGCTTCCCTTCGAATGTCTGTCCAAATTGCCAGTTTGAGGGAGCAACATTGTAAGATGATAACATTCTCCCTGCACCGATGGTCACCTCAAAAGATAAAGGCTGGCCTCCGAGCTCGGTATTGCACTGTCAATTCTGACCCCAGTTTCTCCCCATCGGTATCCAACCAGTTCTTGACCCCTTCACTTTGACTGCGATCACTTGGCCATCTGACGCTACATTAGTGATTAGTATCTGAAGGAAATAGGAGCTCCTAGTTACTGTGAACCTTATTCCTCCATATCTCTCACAGTTCACTCTGCAAGAAGAATACGATAAAAGTTAAAAGATGTCTGCTTGGATCATTAAAAAAAAATCCAGGCATGAGTTTGAATCTGAAAATATAATGCAAGCCTTGGTTGTGTTAATGACTGTCTTCTTCTATTTGGCACATGATTTAGTATTCTTTTAGTTAACATGGTGGATCATGTCAATTGTATATCATTTTGTGTGAATGAGATGTTGCGCGTTTCTGTAGCAGTATAACTTATTTCTCGCTAGAGATCTAAGCTGAAGATGTTCAGTGGATTGGTGAGAGAAACATTTTATATGTGCATCACTACTTCATCTGTTTTGTGAGAATCTATTATGTTGATTAGATCCTTGCATTCAACCTTCGTTTGATGATGATGTGTGCAACAATTTATTTCTTTCTTCTTGTCGATTTGGAATAAAAGCTGCTAAATCCTAAGAGACAATCCAATGTTTTGGGATCCTGACTATTAATTACTGCTTCTGCTTATGTACATTAATATTCTCTCTACTCAGGCACATGAGCACTCTAGATGATGCCATAATTCGTTCAAAATGGATGAACTGCAAAAAGGCTGTTTTGGGATCCTGACTGTAAAATTATCCTGTTGCTTACAAAAGTGCAATTTTGTTGCTGTCAGAAGAAGATCGAAGCTTGCAAACTATTGCGGCTGAAGATAATGGCACTAAGAATATATGCATTCACTGATTGATACACAGGGGTTGCATTTTGGATGCATACTGGAGAAAGACAAACATCATGTTTAAGGGATAAGTACATCCAATCTGTCTTACAGCAAGACATGACATTTTTGATACAGAAGCTAGAGAAGAAAACATACTATATCGCATTTCAAGTGACGCTATTCTCGTGCAGGATGCAATTGGTGATAAGGTAACACAACTAGCAATTTTTCTCTTTTGATGCAATTCTATAAATATTCAATTTGGTAGTGTTCCTTCAAAGATCTAGCTAATGCAACAAACCTGAGATCTTGAAGCTCTTCATCCTGTTCAAAAGTCTCAAATGACAACTGAAACAAAAAAAAAGGAGATTTGATGAAACAAAATAGGCATATCATAATGCTCTTTTATTATTTCTACATTAGGAAGTTGGATTTTGTTCAAAGGATCTTTTGGGGTTAAATGTGCACTAAAGGTTTCTATGTTATATGCAGATTGGTCACTGTCAGAGGTACCTTTCTCAATCTTTTTTTGGATTGGTCATGGGATTTTCCACAGTATGGCAACTTACCCTCCTTGCACTGGCTGTTTTGCCATTAATTGTTGTTGCTGGAGGAACATATGTGATAATTATGTCCAGCTTGTCCAAGAAGGGTGAGAAGGCATATGCTGAAGCTGGGAAAGTTGCCGAAGAGGTATCCAAGATGTACATCTATTATATCTTCTGAATATTTGATTTACTCATGCTTCTATAAAAAAATCCTGTGCAAAGTTGGCCCTTGAAGATTTAAAAGTATCAAACAGTATTTCCATATATCAGACAACTTATACAAATTTATCACAGAATTTCAACACTATCATTATCTTACATGTTGGTTGATGTCCAGAAGCCGTCCTTTTGATGATGTAAAAAACTCACGGTATGAAAAGTAAACAACCAAGTAAAAATATGAGCACACAATCCATCTCTCGATGAAGGAAGTTGAGCCATTTAAATGACTTTCTGAAAATGACCATCAGTAGTGATTACTAATGCTGAAGCAAAGTGAAAAGATCGAAATAGTTCGATGATGAACAGCCATTAATTTCTTATTAAGAATGAATATAATATCTAACACAATCTCATGTCATGAAATCTAACTAAAGGTTTTGACAAATTTACCAACTGTCTATCAACCCCTGTGTATGGTAGGCCGATCACAACTGATGTTGATATGTTTGTTCACATTTGATGTATTCTTATATTACACTGTCTTTGATTTTCATTTTTTTAAATCATGAATGGCTTGTGTGCATCATTACACAGTAGAGACTTAGACGCATGTTTCTAAATTTTTGATAAGATCTCTTTTTATTTGCCTTACTGAGTAGATTTCTTTCCATTGCAGCTACACAACAGAAGTTGGAGATGGATGGTGAAGGTGGGAAGAAGAAGCCAGAGACGTGACGAAGGAAAGGCTTGCAACGTTGATAAGACATGGGTTCTCTGTAGTCTTTATTGTTCAAGTCTACTTAATCATGATTGTTGGATTTGTTAATAAAACATGTGTCAAACACTTGTTATTTGTTTAATAGAATTGCGTTTAAATTTATTTACTAATGTTATTAGTTGTTTCATTTTAATGATTGTGAAAATAAGCACTAATATTATTTTAGCTGTTAATATGCAACTTGTTTGGAGTATAATTTGATGTTTGGTTTTTTTGTTGATGTGAATGGGAGCAAATTTGTTGTGGATGTTCAGGTTCAGTGTAGTTGGCAGAAAATATATTACTTTTGGCGATGCAAATTAGTGTCAAAAAAAAACTTTTTACCGACTAAAAATTATACTTTTGTTGACGTTATATTGCGTCGCCAAAAGTAATATTTTTTAGCGACGCTATCTTGCGTCGCCAAAGGTATAGTTTTTAGTGACGTTTTATTTTGCATCGCTAAAAGCTAAACTATTGCCAACGCTAACTTGCGTCGCCAAAAGTATTACTTTTAGCGACGAACAATTTTGTGTCGCTAAAAGCTATACTTTTGCCGACGCATAGCTTTTGCCGACGCTGCATGTGTCGCTAAAAGTACATGTTTTGCCGACGTAAAATATTATGCGTCGCCAAAAGTATACTTTTCCCGACGCATGATGCGTCGCCAAAAGTATACTTTTGGCGACGCAGTGTATTTGCGTCGCCAAATACTTTCCTTGACGCACTCGCCAAAAGTATACTTTTGGCGACGCAGTGTATTTGCGTCGCCAAATACTTTCCTTGACGCACTTTTGGTGACGCGTTAGCGACGCTGCATTTTGCGTCGGGAAAGATTTTTCCCGACGTTTTTTAAACTTTTCCCGACGTTTTTGTTTCGTCGGCAATGTTGTATTTTGTTGTAGTGACAACACATTAGATCCAAGTGAATACTTTTCTTTTCTAGCTTATCTTTTGTATTCAACCCCTGTCTTAAAGCCAGCCATACAAGAAATTTCACTTTTAAGGGAACATGAATTTTCCAGAGATTTAAACAATCAAATCTTAAACCCCAATCAATAAGAAAATGATAGTAGGATTTAACTGTAAATTTAGTATCCCAAATCCATTTTCTCCTGTCCTCCCTTTGATCAAAATTAAAATCACTAATATCATTCATCAATCTGAGATATTGGAGAACATAATTCCCAGTCAGTTGTCTACTAAACTGAATATTCCAAATCCATTCATTATTAACTTTTTTTCTCACACTACTAATGGGTGCAAAAGGAAAAGAAGTGATATTAAAAAGAGAGGGATAAACCGCAGCCAAGGTATAGGATCCTACCCATTTATCCAGCCAAAATAAAGTTCGATCACCTTTTCCCACATCCACAAGAGTGCTGCATAAAAAGCTACCAATATTATCAAAACAATTCCTCCAAAATTGAGTTAACATGTTTCTGCCAGAATGAAAAAATTCTGTCCAACTTTTCCTCTCAAAGTATTTGCAAAAACTGATTTGTTTCCATATTTCCAATTTATTATCAAACCATTTCCACCACCATTTTCCCAACAAAGCTTTATTCATGATTTTTAAATTTACAATCCCCAAACCCACAAACTGCTTAGGTCAACAAACCTCCTCCCAATTGATCAAATTAGAGGAACCTTTATGGTCAAGAGAACCAGTCCACAAAAACCTTCTCCTCATCTTGTCAATTTTTTCTATGAGCCACTTAGGAAATAAAAAGAAAGAGAGCAAAAAAATTGGCATAGAAGAAAGAACAGAATTCACCAAAATCAATCTCCCTCCTTTTGATAAAGTTTTTCCTTTCCATAAGGCTAGCCTTCTTTCAAACTTCTCAACCAATGGAGACCAGTCTGCTTTTTTTAACTTTCCAGGCCTCAAAGGAACTCCAAGATAAGTGATGGGAAAATTCCCACTTTTACAATTCAACATAACAGCCAAGTTCTGTTGCAAAGAATCATTATCCTCAAGGGCAATGAGTATACTCTTGTTAAAACTTATTTTAAGAAAGGGCAATGAGTATACTCTTGTTAAAACTTATTTTAAGACCAGAAGCAAGTTCAAAACAATATAGTATTGCCCACTTGGCTCAAAGATAATTTTAAGTTAACATAATTTTGTGGTCCGAGGTAACATTTGACTCAAAGATTACATCTGGGATGTCTTCATAAAGTTTAAAAGATACGGGGATGGGATGATCTGCCAAAAAGTTAACTATTGCCTGACCTTTAACTACTTTCTGCGGTACGAATGTCATATCGTACTTTAAAAGTAGTATTGCCCACTTGGCTAACCTCGAGTTCAGTCATACGGGTTTCTAAATGAATGTCTATAAATGATTGACTCTTGAGATGACATGGATGGATTGACCAGTCAGGTAATAGCGCATTTTCTGAATTCAAAGACTAATGTTAGACATTCCTTGTCGACTGGATTGTAGGATGCTCGGTACCAATCATTGTCCGGTTTAGATAATAAATAGTTTGATCATAGCCGTTGTCATTCTTCTGGACAAGAAGTGCTCCAAGGGAGTGGTTCATAGCCCTGACATAGATCAAAAAGTGTTTACCTAAAAACGGTGCGGCTAGGACATGTGACTTTGTGAGATAATTCTTGATCTCATCAAAAGCTCTTTAACAAGCATCATCCCAAATAAACAAAACATATTTCTTCATTAGCGTTTAAAGCGGTTGACATTTTCTAGATAGGTTAGCTATAATCCTGCAGATGTACTAGGTTAATTGTCCTTGTAAACCTCTAATTTTTTTGAGATTTCTCAGTGGTGGCCTCTCTCGGATGGCTTTCACTTTTTCGGGGTTGATATATATTTCTTTAGAGGTTCCAACAAATCCCAGGAATTTACCTGGTGATACCCCTAGGAAAGATTTGGTCGGGTTCATCTTGAGTTGATGTTTTCTCATGATTTTGGACACCGTTCTCAAGTCACTGACATGGTCTTGCTTGTGACGACTCTAGATTGCGAAGTCGTTGACATAGTACTCTACAGTCTCACGCACATGCTCATGAAAAATTGTATTCATGGTGCATTGTTAATTTGCTCCAGCATGTTTTAGGCCAAAGAATATTATTGTATAACAAAATACCTTTAGGGCATCCTGAAAGCTGTGTGCTTCTCATCACCTAGATGCATCATGATTTAGTTGTATTTAGAAAACCCATCCATAAATGACATCCTCTCAAACCCGTGCATATTGTCAACCATGACTTCTGTGATAGGGAGAGGGAATTCATCTTTTGGGCAAGCAAGATTAAGATCCTTGAAATTAACATAGATCCGGATCCTGTCATTTTTTTCATTACCACAACGATGTTGGCTAGCCAATCTTGATGTTGTACGTCATGGATGAACCCACATTCAATTAGTTTACGGGTTTTCTTCTCAAATTGCTCCATCAACTCAAGACAGAAGCGTTATAGTTGTTACTTTACCGGCTTAATATTGGGGTCAATGTTAAGGCAATGTACGGCCACATTAGGATCCAACCTGTGTATGTTTTCGTAAGTCTAGATGAAGACATCAATGTACTCACGAAGGAGAGGTATGAGTTTTTCTTTCTTAGTTAAGTGATAAACTCTCGCTGACGAAGATCAGCTTGCTGATAAGCAACGTCAAAAAAAATACAATAAAAAAGGTAGAGATGAAGACATCAATGTACTCACCAAGGAGAGGTATGAGTTTTTCTTTCTCGGTAAGTGATAAACTCTCACTGATGAAGATCAGTTTGCTAATAAGCAACATCAAAGAAATACAATCAAAAAAGTAGAGAAGTAACTATATAAAAGGCAATTTCACACACACAGAGGAGAGAGAGAGAGAGATCCGTTACTATATCATTTACTATCCGCCGAAGATCTTTGGGACGTGACATCGGTGAGGACATTTTTAATTTCTTGATATCTACCAAAATAGACCTATGAAATATGGTAGCCGTGAGGACTTTTAAAGGAGCAAACGCTAAATAGCACTTGAATTGTACACTATAATTTACATGACTTTGCATTGCACACCCAATCTATTATTTTTTGTTATTTAAATACCCTATTATTTTTTAAAATAGCACATTACTACCTTCCCTGAAATTTTCTATTAGACTTTTGATGATAAAGATTGATCAATTATACCTCTAAAGTTGAAATATTCTTGTCAAATATTGGGACATTCCCCCAAATTAAACTTTCCATTTGATTTATACATGATAATAATTAGTTAATTTTACCGTTAAAGTTGGTATCTTGAACCGAAAAACTCATCATCAACTTTATTTATTCTTATTTACTTATGAGGTTGGCTTTGGTGCTCCAAAAATAGGCTCTTATCCAAAAAATTTAAATTGAAAAAAGTAAAAAATTAGCTATAATAAGAAAGGGTATTTTTGTCTTTGGTAACTAAGATTTTTCTCCAAATAAATTATAAATGAAAGAAATATAAGACATAAAATTATATGGTACCTGAATAATGTTTGATTTTCTAGAAATGCTACTTCATTTACTTCCTTAGGTATTAATGTTGGGATTGTGATTTTGATTCTTTGTATAACTTTATGAGAATTAGATAGAGTTAGAGATATATCATGATTAGGAGATTGAGTCTTATCATGATTAGGAGTTTGAATCCTATTCTAATTAGGAAGTTAGGCTAGAGATATGGTTTTTAGTTTTCCTATATATAATATTTTATTGTTAGAGGAAAAGCCGAGCAGAGGAGAGGGCTAATATTCTTGTAATCTAGGGTTAGCAGATGGCGTAACCTGATTCAGGAATATTGTGCAAGAGGCGAGAGTTTCGTAGTTTTTATCCGTGCAAAAGATTACATCATTGGGGGAGGGTTTCACAGTCTTTGTCCGTTCAAAAGTTTGTAAGAAGAGGGCTTTGGAGATAATATGAGAGATGATTATATATGTGAGGTTGAGAGATTGAGAGACGAGAGTTGAGTGGTTTCTCTTGTGTTCTCCCTGATACATAGTGGATTTCTCATATTGTTGCCCGTGGACGTAGGTCGAAGTTGGTTGATCGAACCACGTAAATATCAGTGTTCTTTCTTCTTGATTGCGGTTATTTTATATCTTATTGATTATGAGTTAGCTTCTGAGTTGCGCAGAT